CTTCTTCAGAAAAAATTTTTCTGAAGAAGGCTCTAGGCCCGAAACGTCAGCCTTCCTGATCCTCTGATGCTGCTTAGCCTGCTGTGTTCATGAAGGTCTAGCTTTGCTCCATTTCCAGTAGGAGCATCCATATATTGATAAGGAAAACTTTCTTGAGCACATTTGACAAATTCTTCACCATCCACACCTTTAACACTATGGTAGTCCCAGCTAACATTTAGAAAATTAAAAACCCCATTATTACAACCTCATTATGATTACATATATCTGAGATCACCCTACATATATGTTTTTCAATTTCTTTCTTACTATTGGAGGGCCTTTGTACAGTCACAAAGTGATCTTTCCTTTCTTATTTGTAATTTCTTCAATAATTTAATTTCATAGTTCATTGTTGCCTTTCTGATCGTTTTTCTTTACTTTTCTCCTAGTTATTTCATATTCTCCTCTGTCATGCTCTATCCTACTGTCAATGTGACATGTACTACATCCATTTCCTTTCCTTCAATGTGTGTTATGTCTTTATGTATATCCGTGGTATCTGTTAGTATTTAATTTGATTTCTTTAGAGCAAACTATTTTCCTAAATGGAATATATTTGATAATGTCTTTCATTGTTGTTTTATATCATTGTTTGCTAAAATCTTAGCCTATTTTATTATTACAAGTTCCAATCCCAAATCCTCAAAGTGATATTTTCACTAATCTATCACCTTTCATCTTCTCATGTCCTTTTCAACTGATAGTTTATAAGCGTACTATATTATGGTTACTGTTGCCTAAATATTCCCCATTTTTACTTCCCTCATCCATCCCAATTCATTCTGCGTTCTTAATCCTCTTTTGTCAGGCTCCTTAAATGCTGGGTTAGAAGTAATATTTTTACAGATTATTAAAACTGTATTTCTTCAGCCCCTTATTTATTTTGGCTGACCAATTAACTCTATGGTAATTGAAAATCCCCATGATTAATCTTCTATTATTTTTTATTAATTTCCTTAATTTATTTGGATATTTCTTCCTTCACCATTCAATAAACCATCCCTGCCAGTGTGATTGATCCTTTATCTTTTTTACACAAACTGTTCTTACTGCCATTGTTATCTTTAGTAAGTACTGAGCTGTATTCAGCTACTCTACCTCCCCTTTCTCTCTTCCTATTCTTTCTAAAACATGTTATAGCCTGCAAAGTTTAATTCCTAATCCTATTTGTTTTCCTCTGGCAGCCATATTTCTGTAGTCTCTATTACATCTATCTAATTCCTCACAATAAATGATTGCCTCCAGTTTCCCTGCTTTCACAGACAGTGTGTTCATTATTGTACAGACAAAGGTCAATTCATTTTTAACAACAGCTCCTCTCATTTTACTCATGTTCTTTATTTCCTGGCCATTTATTTCTTCCCTCAGGTTATTCCATTCTGTGCTTACTTATCCTGCAAAAATGAATGCCCTTTAATTCCTGGAAATGGATGTGTGTATATACCAAACATCTTAGACACATAGCAGAAAGACAACAACCTGCTCACTCTAGAAATTCTGGTCAACACAGCCCTCTGCGTTGGTGTGTCATTTATGTTAACAAAGAAATGACTCCTGCAAGCCTTGAAATGAAAAAAAAATGTTGACAGCCTGTGACAAAAGATAACTTATTCTGTCTTGAACCATTTTAGGACAGGATTAATACTGCTCAAATCAATGCATGTAGTTCTTTAAAACTCATGGGAGAGAGAGTCAGCCACAGTCTATCCATGTTATAGAGCTAGGCATCCAAATTCCTAAAACAAAAGGAGAATGTATCAGGTTGAATATTCTCAACGCTGTCAGTACAATTCACCAAAGAATGACACTAGGATAATTTCATGTCAAGCAGAACCAAAACCTGCCAAAATTAAGAGCCCATCAGACACTTAACTGGGCTTTCCCTGCAGATAGGATTGCAGAACCAAAAATCCTTACCGAAGAGAGCTGCTGCCAATTGAGGCTGGCATCAATCCAACGTCCTTCAGTGCCACGGGGAATGGTGGCTGCTCCAAGTAATGTATCCACCAAAGGCCTAAGATCAGCAATCAGCAGGCCATAGGTGAGTGAGGGCAGGATTGGAGGGCAGGGAGCAGGTGGCTGGCTTGGACAAGACGGGCAAGTGTTGGTGGGGCCCCTTCCATGTTAGTTTCTTGACCAGACACTGGGTTTGAAACATCTCCTGAAAGCAAACTCAGACAGGGCTTGATTATTGCCCTCGTGCATGATGACATCCCCATTGCTGCTAGTAGTCAATCCATGGTGATGGATACATGTGTAAATAGGCAAGCTCCCACCTGATTAAATGACTCCCCAACAAATTTGTTGTCAGGGTGACAGTAAAGTCTGTCTGTTGAGAGAGTGAGAGGGGATTCACGAGATGGGGTGTAGGAAAGTATCGTTTAAAAGGTTTGAAATGCAACCCGACCCCACATCCCACAGCTATCCCTAGGTCTTAACAGAGGTTGGGTGACCAACCTGCATTCCTGAGGCAAATCTACAATTCAGATTCATTAACAACATACATACCTTAAAATTTTAACAGCCATTCCTATTGAACAACCGCAGACCAGAATTCCCAATGTTCGAAACAGCTAGCTGCTGATGAGTGATGGTAAATGCCAATCGAGCCTCTCCAGCACTGCTCGAGGGTCAGGAAGAACAAGACTACATCCCCGTGGTTCTCCTTAGATAACTTTGCCCTGACCCATGCTTCTAACTGTGCGCATGCCTCCAAAAACGTACCCCCCCACAACCTCCAATCACTGCCTCCTCTCTACTCTGACCTCAGGATCTTCCACTCCTGGCATTACCCAGCAAGCTGCCTGGTGGCTGACTAGGAAACAGAGAATGAGCATTTTAAACATGCTCCAGCCATTTATTATTTGGGGGAGGGGCTCTCTGGCATCTTTTCCTCTCTCGGTTGTTTCAATACCCGAGCCGTCCACACATCAGGTACATCCTGTTCTGCACAGAACATTACGTCTATGCGAAATACCTCAGGAGCTCTTTTGCCATTATCTGTCTGTGTGAATTAATAGTGTTAATATTAATATCGACATCACTCACCCAGTGTGGGGTCATATTCCCAGATGAACCTCTTGGTCAGAAACCTGACTACGATAGCTGTAAATTATAAGAAAAGAATTAGTGCCTATTAAACATGATGATGTTACAAATAGAAATAGTGCGACCTTCCACACATTCACTAAGTAAGTATGCATGATAAGGACCTAGGACCTACAGTATTCATGAAACAGATTCCAACAGCCTTTTAAACAAATTGGCAGGGTTTCTGCTCCATTACATGAAATTTCAATCCATGCATTGCTTACTCTTTTCTATGAATAGTTCTTTAATATTTAGGGTAAGGTGCTTCTCAAATGCACTACCGGTGAGGCCATTTCAGATTTGATCTAGCACTTAAATTTGGCATGGCCCCTCAATAGGCTAGGAAATTGAAACACATTACTTCAGCAGAAAACACGAACCTGCTGGATCTTATTTCAATTTCCAGGTTCTTGGTGAGAGAATGTCAATGCACATACTTACTATGGATCACCAGAAATAGAAGTCATCCTTTCAAAGAATAATGGACAAGTGTCAACTTATCCATTAACGAATAATTCTCTCAAAGTTATTGCAAGGAAGTGCAGAATTAAAACAGGTGATTCCTGTGTTGCTGTTTCAATAGCAAATCGTTCTTTACTGAGAAATCTAGCCATTTTCCAGTCCACCGTTACTACGGAGGGGGTACCTGTGGTCCAGCATAGCTCCCGTAACAATCCAGGATATTCGTCAAAACAATGAATTCAATGGTTTATTTCCTAAGTGCGTCTTGCTAATAATTCTGGCTCATGAGTTTTAACAGTTTTGTGGGAAGTTACTATTCTGTTTACAGTTAAATGGAAAGAATTTGTTAGTAAAATAAAATAAAAATTACCAGCACCACATTCACAAAGAAGAATATGCTCTTTATTTAAATGTATTGCAATAACAGTTCATCATTGCTTTGACAGAAACATGGTAATACATGAACAGGACAAGGCTATTCATCCATCCTGTCCTTCCAAACCTCATAAATGGTTGTTTTTTTTCCAAACCATTAGACAAAATCATTTGTCTTCCAATTCCTATTTATTGATAAGGTTTTACTGAATGCTTTGCAGAAAACCAGTGGGACATGGAGCTTCTCAAAGCTCTTACATCTTTCCTTTATATCATGGGTGATTTGTGCCTCAGCTCCATTTACACATCTTTGCTCTGTACCCAGCGATACTCTTACCCAAGAAAAACCTGTTGACTGAAGTTCTGAAAATTTAAATTAGCTCAAAATCTCCAGAAATTTCTTTCTGGGGAATAGGTTCCAAAATTTCGTTACACTGTGTATGAAACAGTGACACCTGATTTAAATGTCTTCGATCTAATGTTAATATTATCCCTTCTCGTTCAGGGTTCCCCTAGCAGACAGAAAAACTCTGCATCAAATCTACCCGAATTCCTTCATTGTCCAAAATACCTCAGTTGCATCAGCTTTTGACATTTCTTCATAAATTTCAAACCAAGTCCTCAAAATGCAAGCCTTTAAATGCCGGTATTGTTTAGGAGAGTCTGTGGCGCATTCTTCCTATGTCTACATTTCCTGAGGTCGTGCCCATACCTGTAAAAGTTACGCCTGTTATTCTCGACCAAGTCCTTGTACAACTAAAAGCACCACCTTTTCGTTTTTGAATTGTAATCCCTTCGCGATTAAATCTGATACATTGTTCTCCTTATTCTTCAGTTCTCTATCTGAAGCCAGTTCTGACCCACTGTATTTTCTTGACCGTCAAGTCCTAGAGAGGGATTTGAACCTACAGCTTCGGACTCAGAGGCAGGGACGCTACCCACTCTGCCACAAGATCTCCAACATACCATGTGTTTTCTTAGGAACATTTTGTACCTTTTCTACTTGGTGAAATTCTTGGTCCCAAAGAGCAGTGCAGGCTGATTATTGAATATGCTGGAGGCTGAGTTAGACAGATATTTGATGAACAAGGCAGTCAAAAGTTTACAAAGTCACCACTTACGGTGCCATCTTAGGTACAAAAGGTACCTTCAGGACCTTAGGAATAAATTAGAAAAATAAAGAAATAAAAAGTTCAGCATTACTGTCCTTTGCACCATCTTTAGTACAAAGGTACCCAGGTACAGAATCTTAGGAACAAACTAGAAAAATAAAGAGACAAGAAGTTCAGTCTTATGGTCCTTCAGAGAGACAGTGCCAGGCCTCACCTCCCAACCACACCAGGCCTCGCTGCCAGACCGCAAGAGTTGGCCAGTACTTGAAGAAGGAAGTAGATAGAGTACCTTTCATCACCCTCCACTCAGAGCTACAGAGAATAGGAGCCAAAGAACGTCAAGAAATTGCTGGATAGACGGTAAGATAAATGAATAAAGTGAATCCATTCTGCCCTACTGTCACTGCTGCACTGATACATGGGAATTTATTTGCAGCGGTAAAAGTATTCATAGTCATAGCTGCCCTTGATCCAAGTTACTAAATGCTGTCATCACCTCAGTAAAGATCCTTAAAAACATCTACAAGTCATGTCCTGCCATTGCAGAAATTACCATAAGTTTGCTTCCAACTTAGCATGGCTCTTATTCATGCTGTTACAGTAGTCTCTTGCGTAGGGCCTTCTCAAATGTCTTCAGGAAGTTCATAAAGACAATATAATTAACATTCCATTGTACACCACAGGGTACGTTAGAGATTACTTCAAAAATTTCAGTTAGCTTAGTCAGATATTTACCCTTCATAAATCTATTTTAACTCATTTTGTTCAGCCTGTACCATCAGTTACTTTGGGTCTTGGACAATAGATACCAGTAATCTCCATGCAATTCATGTTAAATTGATAGGTCTGTAAAAACTTAATTTCTTTTTCACTTCCTTCTTGAATAACACAAGTGACACTTGCAATTTTCCAAGCCAAAGGCACAATTCCTAGATTTAGGGAGCTTTGAAAAATTATGACTAACACATCAGCTATTTCACCATTTTTTTAAAAAATAACATCCTGGGGTAGAAAAAATTAGTTTTGCTCAAAACTTTGATATGCTTTTCTGATCTACCTTTTCTGCTAATAATCCATTCTACAATTCTATTCACTTATTTAAAAAATTACCTTTGTTTCTTTTGAATACTTAACTTTGAAATTTATCGCCAACTCCTTGAAACCCTTGCACGAAAGAAGAAATTTCCCCGGGCTAATATTTCCACATTTTTCTTTTCACGATAACAAAGTCCCAGGATAAACAATATATTTTTAATTAACCTTTGCTGCAATGAGGCCAAACTGAACACAGTGTTCCAGAGGCAGTTTGACAGTACAGCAGTTAGAGGCACCAGGTTTTTTAACCAAAGTTTTTAAGATTAATATTTTCTTTATCACTGACATTTTCTAAGCGATGTCATCTGTCTTCCATTTTTGGTGTTTTAACAACTCCTTCACAGAACCAATGTGATTTTCTGGAGTGACTCAACCATTATGTTTTCAATAAGGTTAGAATTTGCCAACAGATTTAGAAAAGGTTTGAAATATTTTTGACATAAATTACTGCATCAATCTACTTGGAATCAAGCTATGGAAACCAGCAAATTACTGCACTAACGTTCCTTAAAGCAGACATTTGTTGATAAATTTTGTGTGTTTTAGTATAAGCCAGATGTAAGAAAGTTTCATGAAAGAAAGCCTACATGTAAACAAACAGTCTCAACTGAGTTTCAATCTTAATTCAGAATTAGATTTATCGGATCAGTAAAGAAACAACTATTACTTGCTTTGAATAAAACACAAGCCATTGAGAAGGGGAATTAATTTTTAAAGTTTGTTGATTGTTCAATTCTTTAATCGTTTAAACTTCGGTGGCCTCCCTTCTTTGAGAGCACAGTGGGTCCATGTGACTTTCACTGGCCACTGTCGAGTAGTGAAGATGTAGAGGCTCATATTTAACATTTCATAAACATTTTCCAGTAGTTAGTTCCTGCTGTTGATATACCAAGTGGACACAATTCCTCAAAAGTGACATAAACTACTCACAAAGGTCAATGGAGTTTTATGAATTACTGAGACAGAGTACAACAGTAGAAAGCTATTGATGAACTAATATTTAACATCAGTGACAGCACTGTCAGAGAAATGATGCATAGTTTTGCGTAAGCCTTAAAGAAAGGATACTAAAGCCATAAGGAATGCACAACATAGATTCACTAAGATACTTGTAAAGACTTGAGATGGTGCAACTAAATCTGTTGGAGTAATGAAGGCCAATAGCAGATTTAATAGTGAAATATAAAGTTATTCTGTTTGGAGTGTCAGCATTAAGAAATTATAAATTTAAAATTATGCCAAATGATTGACAATACAAGGTACCTTAGCAACCTAGGAACTTAATAAAGAAATTTATTTCAACACAGGACTGTTGAAGCAGGGAAAGTTTGTAACCAAAGGTTGTTGATGCAGGGCAAATTTTACTTTAATTGAAAATTTGGTAAGTGCTTAAAGCACAGGAAGATGCAAGACTATTACAAAAGAGCAACGCAGTGGACTTAATGTTTATTACTCCAACAAAGAGACAGCTTGGACATAGTTGACACCCAGATCTCCTTCAGTCTTCTAATCAGCAAAAGTGCAAGAAAATCTGCTAAGAAAATTAAAGTTTCCAGGTTCTTGAATCAGTTTCAAGGTAAAGAGTATTATTTAGATTTGACCTGCATCCTAGGAGAAATAAATCAGAATTTAAAATTAGCAGTATTATGAACTTATGTCAAATGTTTATTGAAAATCACATCTTTGGAATTGCATTTATCTGCAATATCATAAAAGAATTGGTTAAAAGCACAGAATCCTGCTAAATTGTACATTGTCTATTTTTTTTAAAATTCTCTCATGGGATACGGGCATTGCTGGTTGGGCCAGCATTCATTGCCAATCCCCAGTTTCCGTTGAGAAGGTGGTGCTGAGCTGCCTTAAACCACTACAGTCTACGTGCTGTGGGTTAACCCACAATGCCATTGTGTGTGTGTGTGTGTGTGTGTGTGTGTGTGGGGGGGGGGGGGGAGGGGGAGGTGGGAATTCCAG